TATTTTCTTCCCTTCCGACTCAGTCAGTCAATCTCCATCCATCTCTCTTTCTGTTATAAATGATATTCTGCTGCTAGAGTGATTTTCATTTGGCTTGTATTTGTTCATAAAAGTATTTTTTGGTTGTTTTGAATGGTGAATGAAAGCAGATGTCACTTAGCATGAGCAAGTACATGATTAACTCAGGATTACTTGCTTTTTTTGCTTTAAATTAAGTGATAAAATTTAAAAAAATTTTTTTAATGAAAGTACCCAGCTGATTAAAATTATGGAAGAGGATAATTACATTTTGTCTCGTGTTTCTTCAAGACCAGAAGTAAATCGAAGCTTTTTCAAGTCCAAGGAAATTATGGAAATTTCTTGACAAGTGGTGCAGAATGCAATTTGTCTTTTCAAAATACGAAGCTTACCCTGTTTTTCTTTTTTTTTTTGTTGTTTTACTTCCTATAATCTACCGCTTACTACTCCGTATAGTAACTGTGTAGAGTTTTTCGGATCTTTTGCATATCTTTGTCTCTCAGTACGGTTAAATAGAAGAAGCAAGGTAGTCTTTTCTTTGTGAATTAGTTATCTACTTGTAAATAAATATGGGGTTTGTGTGGATTAAAGTCGATCTCTATAATAGGTCATTGTGTCTCCGTTCCCTTAATCCCATTATGTTGTTTAAAAAAAAAAAAAATAAGATCTCTTCAAAATCTTTTTCCCGGATGTTGTTGTGTAGAAGAAAACCTTGACATAAATATCAGTTCATAGAATTTGAGCTGGAAATTAAACTTCCACTTCTATCATACGTTTTCGAAAGTAAAGAAAATTTCTTATCATTTTGATAATAATTATATAGTGGTTTTTTTTGTAAATTTATTACCGTAGGAACTGATGAAATTATACGGCTGTACAATTCATTGCTTGCTGTTCGATAATGTATTTTGAGCCCTTCCCTATAATTTACTGTATACAGATAACGTTATAATCATTCAAAGAATGAAATAATAGTTTTTTTTTTTTTTTCTATTGTAAAATCTCAAGGGATTATTTCTCTTTGAAAAAAAAACTGAGTTTATTTCTCTTCTGTATAGTATTTTTGGTTTTTTTTTTTCTTGTTATACATGATGTTAAAACGATTGATTTTTATGATTTCTTTTAAGAAAATTACATGTAACTTGTCCATAATGTAAACAGATACAAATATCGTGGTCAGAATTTGGAAGAAGAGATAGATTACTTGTCCTGGATTATTCCTAGAGATGGATGAAACAGAGGAGTGAGTTATGAAATAATCGCAAATGGTCAGATTAGATCTGTACCGTCGATGCATTTCTATTTTTTTTTTAATATTTCTCATTACCGTTATAGTATTTTAATTAAATTGTACAGTGTCATGAAGGCGCAGTTTCAAAATCGAATCAGTTGGTATTCCACTAAATTTTTGTTTGATGTACTTTGCTGGCTAAATTCAGACAAATAAGTGCATTTGACGTCGGACCTAGCGATGATATCAAAATGGATTTTATTTCTGTATTTTGTTCAGTTTTAATAGTACTACTATCTGTTTGTAAATGAGAATACATCAATTTGTGTTCATTGTTGCAGTATATGTCGTACTGTGTAGTTCTTATGATTGTACATTTGAATAAAGTCATTGCTTCTTTTGCATATTCTTATTAAAGATAAAGTTTTCAAATTGATATTTGTTTGGAACAAATTAGTTCTTAATGATGCAACAATAAAAAAATCAATACAATCTCAATTTTTTACTTATAAGGTATCATAATTATTTAAGAGATAAACGAATTCAAAAAAATGATATGTCTTCAAATTGAAATTTCTGCACCAACTCCCTATAGCAGCAGTTGCTGGATTCATAATAAAATGCGATTCCACTGTCACTTTTTAATTATCATTGATTTATTACGCATTAAGCAAATAACAGGCATATGAAAAGAAATGAATGAATAAGTAAAATATTTTGATTCATAAAAGATGCTACAACAACTACAGCACAGCAGTAGAGGTAGTATCCAGATGGGTGGAATTAAATTCATCTAAAAAGTTTCAATAAAAAAAAAAATGAGTTGCTATTGCAGCAGTAGACGATGGAGATGGATAATAAGAAAAAATGAAATGAATAAATGATGAAAAACCATTTGGAATGCTTCGGTGATCAAAAATAATGGAACATTAAGTTTGGTGATTAAAAAAAAAATAATGAATAAATAATAAAGCAAATAAGAGTATTATCACAGGGGATGGATAATGGTCCCCACGGTAATTGTAAAAAATTTCGGTTCTTAACAACTTTCTATTTACATGCAAATTTTTTGGCTAAATAATGAAATGTTGTTGGAAAAAACAGGTGAAAATGTTTTGAGGTGCACAATCTAAGCTCAATTCCTCATTTATATGGGATCCCGAGAAATGTTATTGTAATAACTCGTCGGGAATTTCGGGATAATTTCCATCATATTAAGGACCATGTTGCGGAAGTTAGCAGGTGGCAGCAATGCGAGTGGACTGGCAGACGCAGCAATAATGAATTCACGGGAGTAAACCATACGAACGTCTAATTCACCATCCTGACCGCGACGTGTTACTATCATGCTTCCACCAGTTGGATCCATGTAAGTAATATTGGTCTATGCAAAAAAGCATCTATGATTCAAATCTTCTAGAAAAGAAGGAACGGTTTGCAGAATTTCGTTTTAAATTAATTGATACGACGAACTCTTGAGAAATGATACTGTAATAGCTTTTAATAATTTTGAAATAATTTTATCAGTCTAACATAGTATTACAAATTGATTTTTTTTTCTTAGGTTATTTGATAAATCGATTAATATCTGTAGCATAACGTAAAGTATACTATTAGTTGCTGATTAATTAAGGGCGAATAAATGGCGTACGTTATTATTTTAAGCTTATATGAACACAAAATGTAGCAAAATGATTTCAACTTACAATTTCCATTCCAGGCTGAGGATTGTTGACAGTGCTAAGCAATGACTCAGATGGAATCCATGTAGAATTTGTTACATTTGTGTGAATCTGACGACGGCGTCGGAAATGATTTTCGTCAATTAAAGCTGGCATATAATTGTATATTGGAAAGTTAGGCATTGCAGCAGAATTCATATCCATCTAAAGAAGAAATCTGCATAAGTTGTTGTTCTAGAAATGATAGAATTGTTTATTGCAAACAATAAACAATTAGCACTTATCAGTTGAACACGCACTAAGCACAGCGCTATGCCACTCGTTCATTTGTTATTTCAATAAAAAAAATTAACAGACGTTCAGAGGAACATTGGGAAGTAGCAGTTTGAGTGGTCGAGGTTCCTGTGGTAGCGATACCAATGGTCGCGTTACTAGTGGTCCCGATTCCAATGATTGCGGCTGCGGTCCTAACGTTTGTGGTCCTAGTGATTGCTGTTCCAGTGGTCGTGGTGTCGGTGGTCTCAGTGTCAGTGGTCGTAACACTCGTGGTGCCACTGCCGCAAAACCACGGTTCATTAACCAGTTCATTGTTGACGGCTTCATTCTAATAGGAGTTACTGGTGCGACTGAAGTTCCGCGAATATCTTTTTCTTTAAACAGATCTTTTTCTGCAACATTTGAGATTGAAGTCTGTTGCGCTGAATAAGTTGTAATCTCTTCAGTCCGAAAAATGAAAGCTTTCAAAATTGAAATATCAAACAATCGTTTTCTATGCACGATTATAAGATGACTCTTACTTATTATTAAGTCATTTGAAACAGCTAATTTCTTTTCAGCTTGCAAATTAATTTGAGTGAATTATAAAAAGTTTATGTGTTAATTAATAATTGTTTTTTTCTAAATGGATCACTAAGATAAGAAACTCTCCTAGTGTGATGATGATCGCAGGAGTAATAGCCATAGACTTCTCTTCTCTTATACATAAATGATAAAAAATACGAAAGCATTCGAATTATAGCAATCTTAATTAAACTTTTAAATAATAGCATAAAAGTAAAATTGGAAAGCTCCAACCAGATTCCACGAGAGACATATTTTTTTGCTGCGATTTCTCGGGATCCAGATGTTTATCCATTTTAAATAATCGGGAGATGCGCAAGAGCAGCGAATGACGAGGAGTGAATCGTTCTGGATGAAACCGAATAGAAAGAATGAATTGTTGGATGAAAAGGCTTGATATATCTCACAAAACAAATTATGCAAAATTTGCATATGCACTTCTCGATTCTCTCAACTTGTTACTGTGAACCATTGCTATTAATTAAGATTTCAATCTCTAATCTGTTTTTTATCAGGTACTGTTTTCAAAAACGCTTAATTTTTTATCAATTTTTACGCATAACAATTTATCACATAGTTGTCATTTCGATCTTTAAAGCTTGAAGGATGCTGTCAAAAACAAACTAAAATTTTCAATTACAGGCAATTTTTATTCTTAAGTGAGAAGCAAAAAATGTACTCTATTGTAATAAATTTCAACTGATTTGATGAATTGTGCAGGTTTTGTAAAGATGGATAACGAACTTTGATAATCATAATTTTCATGATTCTCATGTTCATAATTACTTGAATTTTCTGTCTTCCTCTACATTAACTGATAACATGATAAATACCTGCAGCTGATTTGAATAACATTTAAAAAAAGTAACAAATTAAAAAGAAATGGAATTTGAAACGTATAAGAATTCAAAAAGAACAAAAGCATTTTGACGATGAATTAAGATCAGTTGAGATTAGCTTCCTTTTCATCATTCTTAGTTACGTGAATTTTGCCTGCGAAATAATACTTATTTTCTCTCTAATATTTCCAATACATTAATTTTTCATTTTATTTTGTTGTGAAGTAGCAGTGTTATACATAGGTAAGTAAGAATGTTATTTACTTCATATAATATGAACTTTTTTTTGCTTCTGAACATTAATACTGCTGTGCTGGTGATATATGGAATGCATAATGAAAGAATAATTATTTGACACATAAAGAAGCACCAATTTCTCATTTTTTAATTTTAAAAAGAAGTGGTGGTGGTATAATTACGAGTTGTCAAGTATTGAAAGGATGGTAATTGATGGTAGAGTGATGATATCACGTACAGATTTAGTGCGTCCGTTAAACTGTCCACAATATAACGCCACCTCCTCAGGTGAATGTGATTTAAGCCATAACTGTTGAATATTTTGCGTTTTGCTCCGTGTTTGTTCATATCGTTCACGGACGGCATGGTAGGACGAGAAAGTGACGAAATGCTCGACGATACTTCTGACTGTATACAATGTAGATAAGGGGATTTAATGATGATGATAGTAGTGATAACCACTGGAAAATTGGACGTAGTACCTGGGATGCAAATTGAAATGTTGATGTATTGTAGTCCTTTGTAAGGAAAAAATAAGAGTATATTCCTGCAATACATAAATGTTTGCATATTTGTGAATTCATTTTAATAAATTTTGAATTCACATGAGAAGATCACACTTGAATAAGGTCACATAAGACTTTCCAAAACTATAGAATTGAAAGTATTACTTTACTCGTTAGAGCGGTATTAGAATTGAAATTTTATGGAAGTGAGATATTAAACTTATTATCAAAATTATAAATTATTATTTGGAATATGAGCAAACCATGTAATGGTAGCCAGCATAGTGCAAAAACAATAATAACTGTAAACATCATTTGAGCCACTCGTAACTTAACGCGTTCATCACGAATCTAAAAACTACAATTTTACTAAGATTTTCTAAAATTTGACTACGAATAAAATTCTAATCAACTAATATTACCTTAGCGTTCACAGCCAAACTACGATGATTTGATACAGTGATGAAGATACGTGTATAAAGCGCTGATATCAGGATGAATGGAATAGTAAATGCAAGTAGTAAATTAACAATAATAAAGTTTAATGTTTCATCTTGTGTTGCAATGCATAAGCGTGCCACCATGGTACCATTTGGTGGATCCAATGTAAATAATATCTAAAATAAATATTATTTCTAAGCACTATTCTAAGGATTGCATTTTATTTGTCAATATTTTTATTATCGAGAATGAAAAGAATTGATTAACTTTCTTAAATTGATTAACATAGTTGTCTTTTCCTGTTAAATACGTCAAAATTATGTTAAAAAAAAAAAAAGACTCCTTTATATTCAGAAACCTCGTCATAGATGGCTAAAGTTGGTGCTGCAAGAATTCCACTGAGCATCCATATTCCTGCAATCACATAAAGTGTCCATCGAGAATCCCATACAGCATATTTCATCGTGTGACAAATTGCTAAATAACGATCTGCTGTAACGGCAACCAAAGTAAAGATTGAAGCGCAAGAAGTCGTCGAGTTTATCCAAGTTGACATTTTGCAGCCTATCGCACCAAGTTGCCATTCTGAAAAGTTGAGCTAACTTCATAATTGTTAATAAAAATTAATCTTACTAAAAATATTAAAATAAATAGAAGCAATTTTTTACTTATGAACAATGCAATTCGCAGAAAATTCTATGAGGTAACAGTACAATTTTTAAAGCGTTTAATATGATGCTTAAAACAGAAACATTGATTAACGTCATTTTAATATTCTGTTGACACGTCATTGTAGTATTCTGTTTGAAGTACACTTGAAAAATCTCTCAAATCCTAAGAAACAATGTTTCCCATTTTTCATTCAGCAATTTAATTGATTTCTTTTCTTTTCAACATTTCAGTAACAACTTCTTGAAAGTCTTTTAATTTCCAAGGTGCAGTCCAGAAAGTCTGCAGATGAGAAATTTCCTTCAAAATGAATTTTGAACATGATTCGGAAAGCGTAAGATCAGTTAATTAATTGAAAATAAATAAATATATGTGTCATAAAAATCGAAAAATGGAATTGATAATTTACATTTTTCCAATCTTTTGGAGATTTGGAGTTATCTAAGAATAGAAAATTTTTAATTTTTAATTTCAAACCAAAGCACACAATTTTTTTGAAAAGAAAAGTAATTTAAAAAAAAAAAAAAACAATATTAATTGGGATTAATTAATATTTATACACACGATATAAAATTAATTTTATGTGATGAAGTCGTTTTATTATAATCATATGGTTTCGAATTAATAGATAATTTTAGAGGACCGATAGTTTGTCACAGAAAAGACAAACTTATTTTTAAGCGTTACGAATGACATTTCAAGTTTTTTTTTTTTTTTTTTAATATTGACTTTCACAAAGTGTAATCTGATATTTCATGGAAACGAATTACAAGATTGGTAAATTGCAATACATATCAAAGTTGTGATGAATTAATAAAATAAATCAATTAATTGATTACTGAATTTCTATTATAGAACAGAAATTATCACAGTAATTGTAAAAAATTGTGATAAGTCATGCAGAATAATGTCTAAAGCAAATAAATTTATTAAATATACTCAAAAATTTTGAAAATATTGCATAATATATCACAAAAAAGAAATTTCCTTATCATTTAAGCAGCTTTACTCATCGATTAGAAATGTTAGCAGTCCGAGAAGTAGTTCGTTTGATTTGTGAACTTCAATTGAATGATCTCTCCAAAAATAGCAATAGAAACTTTGTTCTGTCATCTTTTGTAATAATTCTTTAAAATTTGCATTGCTTAAGTACACTTTTCAATCTTTTGAAAATATTTTAAAAACTACTGCTAGATCAATCGATTTATCTATTTCATTTTGACCAATTGATTTATCTATTTTATATTTTTTGCCACATTTTGTAATAGTAATAGCACTGGCAATACACAGAAGTTTTTGTGAACTTTCATCGAAAATATAAATTGAATTTATAATTTGTTGTGATTCAGCAACATCGCCCATTTTCTCAGTAAATAACTATGGGTTAACTGCTATCAGTTACAATTATTTTATAATAATATTGAAGTATATTTGAAATCTGATGTTTTGTCAAAACTTCCAATTTTTAAAAAAAATTTTCAAAAAAATACCCAAAATTCTTTAATACACTAAGCCAATTTTTGATAATATTAAATCTAAAAAAAAAAAAAAAACTTTTGAACTTTTGACTTTTTGGATAGCAGCAATTTTTTTTTTAAGAAACTGAAAATCGAGAAAATGGTAGATAAGAAATTAAATTAAATCTTGTTGCTTTTGAGGCTCATACTCTTATTAGATTCATTTCACTAGTGGACAGATTTTTACTCTAATTAAAATAATGTTCCATTTGCGTTTCAATAATATGGTGATGAAAAAAAAAAATGAGGAAAAGTTTTCAATGCAGAAAGAAAAAAGAAGAAAGATATTTCTTTCAAAAGTATAATATGTAAGTTTAGGAATTTTAAAACTAATTTTAGAAAAAAGTGAAAAAAAAGAAAAAAAAATTAGGTTTAAATTTACAATTGTAATGGAAAAGTCAATAATATTCAAGGAATGGATCATAAAATTTAATGTGGAGAATCAATGTGCAATGAGATGTCAAAATATGTATAAACAACTTCCAAACATAACCGATTCCTGAGGAGTCTAAAATTTAACACTTAGATGTTTTGAAAAATCTTCTACAAATTGAGCTAATCAGCTTATCACAATATCATGGTAACATATAGTAAACACTGAACTAGCAGAATATGAGTTAAAAACTACGGTCAAATTGAGGAAATACGATGATCGGCAAAAATCCTATAAACCAGCTTACTGCTTCTGTCTGATAATGAAAAAAATAGGAAGCATGGTACCCAGAAAGATGGTTTTCTTAGGTTGCTGAACACGGTACACCTTACATAGCGCTTTCTATAATAACTAATAATGTTAATATCGTGGTGTATAATGGAAATATAATTAACATGCGAGAAAATCTTAGGATTAGAATATCAGTGGTGCAGTACACTTCATGTTTAATTGGCCACTTTTTCGAAAGCATAACAGAGTTTGTGAAATAGTTGTAAGTTTGATGAAGCTCTTAAGTGTGTGTGTGTGTTTTTTTTTTCTTTTTTCTCCTAAGAACTTTTTTATGATTTTAGTTTTTATCATTCTTTTTAGATAAGGCTGGATACTTTGAGTTAGTCAGTGAATTAGTCGTCTTGCGAATCTTTGTGTATGCAATGGGAAGTTACAAGAGAAAAATGAAAAAGCAGTGAATCATAGCAAATTGAAATGGATAGGCAGAGATCATTTGGGATTTTCACAACGGTGGTCATTTGCGCAATTTTTTGGAGAAATTCGTTATCATCCGATAGATATTGCACAAAATGCATTTAACTATTAAAACAAATGCTTTGCATTTCATAAGGAAAGTTCTTAGATTTGAAGATTATTTATCGGAAATAAATTGTTTATGTTAAAGCCTTAATCTACAGTGAGCTTTGATCAAAGCTATCGTTATCGATTCATGTGATCAGTATAACTGATCAATACAATAGTTACATTATTTACTGCATGAAAATGGCATGGCATGGCATTTCTTTACCAATTGCAACTTTTTTATTTGAGCAACATTTATGCTTAATCTCAATAAACAATTATAGTTTTAACGATTAATTGTGGATAACAATTGCAAACTAAAATGTTTTGTCTTCGCAAAACTAAAACCAGAAATACACCTCACAAATGAACTTTGTACAAAATGTTAATTCTTATGCATCATTAAACTCCATGCATTCACATTCCAATTGAAAAAAGATTGTGATACTAAAAACACTAAGTGATCATTACTTGAATTTGAAGTTAAAAGAAGATTCCCAGACTATTATAATAATTTACTAAATTCTTGAATTTTATATGTGTATGTAGTAGACTTTTCGTTTTTTTTTTTTTATTTTAAAGCTCAAATTTTTGGAAATTTGAGTAATTGTTTTCAATGAAACAATCGCTTGCATTTTCATAAAAAGAAAGAATTTTTGTAGAAAATTTTGCCTTCATCATTATGTAACATTTGATAAAAATGAGCAAATTGATCGACAATTTCTTATTTACATTACGCATCTTCGGGTGATCGCTGAAACTCAGCAATCGATTAATGCTTCAGGGGCGTTAAAGATCTGAGAGCTGTTTTGAGCTTTCGTAGTATTAGCTTTCAAGCTTCATCTTCATTCAAGCTCCATTCAGACTATAGTTTATCGATTATGTCAAACATCTCTTCCTAAAGTTAAATTTTTTAAAGCTTTCCAGCTAATCATTCAGCCATTGTGTTTTTGGTCAATTACTGGAAAGATGCTTTATCGTATGTTTTGTATTTTCACTTATTTTATTATGTAAGTTTTAAATTTAAATGATATGAGTTTTTGGATTTTCAAAAAAAAAAAAGGTTAGAATAAGTGAGGAGAAGATGAAATGGTTCAAATGAGGAAGAATGAGAAGCTGAATACAAGTAAATAAAAAGAAAATGTGTAACGGATAATAATAACCTGTTAAAAGATTATTAAGCAAAGTTGTAGGAAGACAAAATAATATAATTAACAGATCAGCAGTGGCCAGTGATGATATTAAATAATCTGTGGATGAACGCAGTTGTGGATGCAAGATAACAGATAGTACAGCGAATGTATTGCCCAAAAGGCCTAACAAAAAGACGGCAGAATAAAATGCTGAATAAATGATAATCAACAATGTAGGATGACGAGTTGCTTCCAGCTCTTTCATATTGAAATGATAAAGATTTGATATTACGGTCGAGTTAAATATATCGCTGTTCCTATTTTTTTTTCCGTTACTGCGAAAGTGATCGAAGAGCAGCTAAAGTTTTAACCATGCAATCCTTTTGAAGTTTTACTTCTTCCTCTCAACTTGCTCAGACTAATGCTTAATGCTCGCTGTCGCTGTCATACATTTAGAGCTCCTCCCCGTTCCCTATTTAGTTTTATCGTTCCGGAAGTAACAAAACAATCCGTCACGTTTGTAATGGAAAGTTGGAAGGATTATTAATTAAATAAAATCATTTGCCAATTGCTTAAGTATTAGAATCAGTGATATTCTCAGTAATACTTAAAAAATTGCTGTCGTTATGATAATGTAGATTATGGGAACAGTCCGGATTTATCAATTTTGCGGAAATGATTTGAATCCGACTTCATTTACTACTCACTTTACAATTACAAAGGCAGCTGTATAATTGCAGTTCTGGTCTGACCGACCATTTCCTGAGATAATGTATATTTCAGTAAAGAGTTTAAAGCTTTCAGAACATCAGGAATTCGAATTTTTGTTCTTAACATTCCTTTTGTAACACTTTTTTTACCCATCGTATATAAGTTAAAAATGGTGAAAATCTTTTTTTTTTGCGATATAAGCAAAGTGTCGTAAAGAAAAATGCTTTTTTTTTTATAGATAATCTAATTTTTAAGCATCCAACATTACAAGAAGATGATTCTCATTCTGTAGATATTTCTTAAATTAATCCTTCAGAAGTGGCAGAAGTAATTTTATTTCTACAAAATCTCACTTTGTAGTTAGGGGAATAATTAAGTAAAAGACGAAATAGATGTAGCACAATTCCAGTAGTGCAGTAATTCAAAGCATATCTTAACTCTCATTAATAATTTATGAGTTATGCAAATTAGCTAAAGTGGAACCGATATCAAATCACGTCTACTAATGAGGGTAACTCAGGATACATATATATAAATGATGCTATCGTACTCTGAATGCTGTTATCTCTTGGTGACAACAAAAGAAGCCATACTAAACGCACAGATGATCGAGATAATTGCTTCTTTCTTAATCGAATGCAAAAATTTTAGGAGAACCAATTTATAAAATCATCCTTTTTAATATTTTTAATCTGATTTCAATGGAAATTAAAGTATGAATGAGACTACAGAGCAGTGAAACAGCTCCTTTACTTCATATCAATGAAAAATGAATTGTATTTGTTGGCACTTTGAGAAGAAATTAGATCAGTGAGATGTTGTGAAATGACTAGTCTATTAATGATCATTTGAACTGAACCTCAGCCGACTAATGTGATCTTGCTACTACTCTGAAAATAGAATTAGAAAACTATATAGTACGTCTTAATTGGAATAATCTGATATTCATCATTTGCACTTTCAGAAGAAGCAATTGTATTACTGAATTTTGCAACATAGTGAAGAGAGGTGAAAGTTGTATCAGTGAAGTAATTATTTTTTGAAAGTGTTTTTGATTGCAATCCAAAAAATTCTTTTTCTTTTAGTTCCAAACAATCCTTTTGTTTGCAGGAATCCATCCAATAACTAAGAAATTTGCCAGCTTCAAATGTGCATTACACACAAATCGATCAAATTTTGTTAACGGATAGAATCCTGAAGTGATGACTGAAATTACTTGAAAATTCTCCTCCCTAAAATGATAAACAGCGTCAAAGTACTGTCAAATGTGATGCTTTATGATGTCTGAAAACAAGTACACAGTTTTTTCAAAATGTGGAAGTACCACTAACTCAAAACGATTGCAAAAAAGCGAAGCTGCTATTCTTATCCTAAAACTTACTTAACAGTTATTTCTTTCATTTCTTTCACTTTTCACAATTTATTGTCGCTATTTAGTCACTTATACAAAACTTTAGACTGTATTCCTTTGTCCCAACCTGTCTCTTACCTGTCATCTGATTGATCTTTCCTCCTGAAACAGTTTCCTTCTTTTTCGGAATATTTTACTTTTCTTGCTTTTTAACGTTCAAATTAAGTGCTGTGCGCTGATCAAGAATTACATATAGATATGAATAAATCATATATCAAAAAAAAAAATCATTTTTTCAATTTTTTTTTATTTCTGGCGTGAAAATCAATTTTTTTTTTTTTTTTGTTCATTTCTGGTGAGTTATACGCATCATTTTTTCTGCAGACTGAAGATTGAGAACTGGAGTTTTCTTTTTAAATAGATTAATTTGTGCATCATTAAACATTTTTTGAGAGTACTAAAACACAGATTTTAGATTTTTATGAATCGGAATAGAGATTAGTAAGCAAACAATGAAAAAAAAAATAGATGTAGAGGAAGATTATTTGACAGGAAAACATTTACAGAAATGTTATCTCATAGTTCTGCAGAGTATAAAATTGCTATTAATATCACTTATCAGTAATTCAAAATTTACGGCATTTCATTTGTGTGAAAGGTCATATCCCGATCATATTTAAAGCTAATATACTATTATATTTTGCATGCTTTTTTGCCCAGCACAAGAATTAAGAAACTTCTCACTGTTTAATCTAATATCTCATCCAGAATTTTATCAACAAAGTTACTTTCAGTTATCAAAACAGCAGTAATTTATTTTGCAGTAACTCCTAAAATTGTATCATGAGTCCTAAGCAGAATGTTAGCACTAATACTTGAGCAAATTTCTCTGTGATTCCATTAAATTATAATTATCTATTTGATTTTGGTTAAGATCAAGAGTAAACAATGATGGAAGAATAATCATTGAGCAAGATCAAGTAAGAACAAATCGTTACTCAATGTAATTCTTGCATTTCTGATGTTGACAGTTTGATTGCATGCCAAACATAAAGACTGATTGAAATTTTCATTTAAGTAATTCAATTAGACGATGTATGGGTAAATTAAGTAGTCAAACTTTACCCACCAACATGATGAATACAGTTTATAAATAAAAGCATTCTATATTATTCATAGACCCATGGTGCAGTTGGATCTGAACTTCCCGAGATTTTACGATCATGGGTACTGCAAAATACATTAGTGTTGGACAATGTGACAAACTTTTCGCTGCGACTTAAGTTTTCAAGTTTGCGGAATACGGTGGTTATATGAATAATGGAAGATAAAAGCTAGTAGGTATGTTCAGACAGACACATACACAAGCCTACAGCTTTTCATCACATCCTATTTTGACATTAATTAAAAAATATGTATTAACTACAGCAAAGTCTTAAGTTAGAAAACTTCTTTACTCGTCAATTCTTTTAATGGATCCGCTCTATGTGAATGAGCGAAAAAAAGGAAAAAAAAAAAGGAAGCAACGAATGGCAATTATTTAAAATTTTCAGGGAGTAATGAAAGTTTATCAAAAAATTTTCCTGCAAAATCCAATATTTAAAAATCCAAAGATCAGCCTGGAATTTTGAAGTTTTTCTTCCGCATAATCAGTAAAGACTTGTAAGTAGAAAGTCTTATTAAAAGCAATTTTTTGCTAACATCGGCAATTTTTGTAGCAGTAATATTAGTTTTAAAAAAAAACAGTTTTAATACTTTTTTCTTAAAAAAACGATGTAACCATTTTATTGGCTGTTTGTTTAAAATTTTTTTTTACTGCACATTTTGCTTTATGTGAAAGGAATTGCTGGATATCGCGAAATGCATCGTTGTATTATTCTTGTTTCAAGGGTAATGTTTTCAGACATACTAGAAAATTATTAGCTAAATAATGAATGCTTTTAATTTAAAGTTTAATTTTGATCTAAATGGTTTTGAAGTTAAACTTTTATCTTAAAAAAAACATATCGTTTTTCGCTCTATTGCTGAAGTTTAAGTTCAAAATACAAGCATTCACCGTTCCGTCTATTAGTTTAAACTTATCGCTTAAAGTTTAAACAGATTTAAATCAAATCTTTTCGAAAGTTAATGCTTGTGTGAATTACTACAGAAATTCAAAACGTTTTCTTTAGAGAATAAATTTTTGAATAGTTAGTTGTAGTACAGACATACATCTTTAATTTTGTTAAAAATTGAATGAGACTACTGATGGTAAACCGAATGTACGTTTCAGAATTTGCTAGCTGCGGCAATGGCATATTAATAACCTGAAATTCTCAGATGACATTCGAAACAAAGCATACTTCTAAAAAATGGTTGAAGAAACTGATCAAATCCCCACAAAACAACAAGATCTGAGCAGTATGAATCTAGTAGAGGGTGAAAGTTTATCGAATGGTTTATTGCCCGAAAAAGTGGCAAGCATTTCCCTTCGATGTTCATTCAAGATCAATATTGATTTTTTCTTCACGTGAAAATTTCTTCCCCAGTTCTTTGAATTATTTACCCATGCTATGAAAATAGCTGTTGTATGATGTGGTGAGCGCACTTCAGACTGGAATCCTTGTTATTGTTTATTTATATCGTCAAGTGGAAAATTCAGGATAAGTAGTTAAGGGATAGTGGGTTTCTAAAGTTTCGAGATCTCTAAATGAATTTCAATCACCCATCACTAATTATTTCAGCTTTATGAAACAGTTCTGTAATTTAGTCTTTAAAAAATTTATTTTCTGAAGAAAAAACATTTTGAATTTCTGTAGTTATTCATACAAGCTTTAACTTTCGAAAGGATTTGATTTTGTCAAGCAAATACAGCTAAGATTTATTAATTAAAAAGCATATAAAATACCGTTCATTTTGTTTTATATTTCATTGCAATTTGACTTTTCTAAAAAAAAAAATTAAATATCAACATAATCATCGCAATCGTAGCAATTTGAGGAATGAAAGACAATTAGCAGCAATATTATAGTGACAAACTGGGTGCACTACAAAATGAATCATATGGTTTAGAAACAGATGTTTGAATTGTTAGTTAACATACACTCCATAAAAATTAGAAATAGTGTTAGAAAAGTTTCAAATAGATCACAAGGAGGAAACAAAGAAATGTTAGCCGAAAATGACTAAGAACGATTATGTGAATATTGAGCACTGCAGTTTGT